AAGGGGGACCATGAGCTTGCTGTCCTTTGGCCTGGAACTACTTGTCCCTCCTTCACTGGAACCACGTTGCTTTACTAACACAGCGTCTTAGTCTCCCACTGCTGCTGTAACACAAACACCACCAAATGGGTGGCTTTAAAGAACAGAGATTTATTTTCTCACAGTAGCCCTGGTGTTCCTCGGTCCCTTGGCGGATCCTCCTGTGGTGTCTGTCTTCCTCAGCTTGTGGTTGCTTCCATGTCTAATCTGCTCTTTTTGTAACTCCGAAATGATTCGGTTTCGGACTTAATAACATAAGAAAGAAAACCCTATTCCCAAATGGAATCACATCCACAGGTATGGACGTCAGGACTGCAGCACATGTTTTGGGGGGGACACAGTTCAATCCACAGCAAACAACATGATAAGAAGCCTGGCTATCTGGATCCACTTTCTTTCTCTTCCCCACCTGTTCTTCTTTCCTGTTGTTCAGAATTTTCTGAGTTCGCTTTTCCCTACGAATTATAGAACCAGTTTGTCATGCTTAATGAAGAATCCAGTTAGGATGTGGATTGAAATTATATTGAATTTCTGAGGTTTTGCTTTGAAAAATATTTACAATGTACCCCAACCTCCCCCTCCAAAAAAAACCTATTGCCGTCGAGTCGATCCTGACTCATAGCTACCCTATTGGACAGAGTAGAACTGCCCCAGAGGGTTTCCAAGGAGCAGATGGTGGATTTAAAATGTAGGAAATAATTAAAAAAAAAGACAATACTATAAAAAAAAATCCAGAAATTTGTTATCTTTCTGTATTAAGTCTTCTTTTCGAGTAACATGGCAGGTCTGTCTAATAATTCTGGTCTTTTATATCTCTCAAAGACTTTTTTCCCCTTTGTAAAATAGATGACGATTTTCCTAAAATTTGTTTTGGGGTACCGTAAGTGTTTTGTTGCTTTATAAGTGAGATTTTTTTCTAACTGGTTATTTTTGATGCACAAAAATGCTGTTTTTTATGTTACTGTGTTTAGCAATCTTGGTGAGCTCTGATAGTTCCATTCCTTTATTTGAGAGTTTCTTAGATTGTTTTATGTAGGCTGCATTACCATATGCAGATAGTTACAATGTGCTTTCAGCCTTTCTAATCCTATCCTTGTGTTCTGTATGGCCTAAGTGTACCAGTCAGGACTCCTAAGGCAGAGGTGATATACGGTGGGAGTGGCTGGCTGTGTCTGCTTCCGCCTCCATTAAAAAAACGAAAGCAAGCCTGGTGCCGTCGAGTCGATGCAGACTCACAGCCACCCATAGGACAGAGGAGAACTGCCCCATAGGGTTTCCAAGGAGCGGCTGGTGGATTCCAACTGCTGACCTTTTGGTGAGCAGCCGAGCTCTTCATCACTGTGCCACCAGGGCTCCGTTTTCTATCTCCATTAGAACAGCTAAAATTTCCCCGATATGATGCTTGTTTTAGTTTTTATAGTGTAACCTTTTCGTCAGAGTGAGCACCTCCCCTTAGTCTGGAATGTTCTTCTTCCACGGGGTGCCTGGGTCCTGAGTTACCGCCATTAACCTCTCAGGCTCCTTCCCAGGGCAGCCACACCCCCTCCCTGCGTCGGTGTTTCCAAGCTCTTAGGATGACTCCTTGCACCTGAAGTCACAGTACGTATGCCTCTGATTTTTTTTAATTGTGGTAAATAAATATGTAACAAAACATTTGCCCTTTCAACATTGTTCACACATACGATTCAGTGACATTACGTATATCACATTGTTCAGCCATCACCATTATCCATTACCATATTGTTCCATCAGCCTTAGCAGAAGCAGGACCTTGGAGGGCCCAGAGGTCCCTTCCCAGTAGCTGAGGGCAAAGGCTGGCCATCCTTGTGGGTGAGGCCAGCTCTTCACCGCTCGGGGACTTGGGGTGGACCAGCGTCGTCAGCATGTCCTAGATATAAGCAGGCGGTACCTGGCTCATCCGACTTTGTGCCTGGCTCATTTAACCCCACACAGCTCCATGAGACGGGCGCCATCTTGTCCAGATCGTCGTTGCTGTTGTGTGCTGTCTGGTTGACTCTATAGTGAGCCTATAGGACAGAGCAGAACTGCCCCATAGGGTTTCTAAGGCTGTAATCTTCAAGGGAGCGGATCACCAGGGGATCTCTCCTCTTGTGGAGCCACTGGTGGGTTCAAACCACCAACATTTAGGTTAGAAGCTGAGCGCTTAAACATTGCACTACCAGAAACAAAGACACAGGGCAATGGAGTCGCTTGCTCAGGGCCAAGCTGCTAGTGAGTGGTAGAGGAGAGCTGAACCCAGGGGATGCCAGGCGAGAATTCTACCCCTGAACCACTACGGCCTCATTTTGTCCTGTTTGGTCAAGTAAATGGAATAATTGTTTACTTTTTTAAGAAACCCGTGGTAACACATGGCTCAGTGCGGTTACCCAGCACAGCCAGTAACCCCTACCTGAGAGCCGCTAGAACGTGGGTCTGACAGCGTCCTGAGTTCACATCCCACCTGAAGAGGCTTTAATGGAGGCTGACAAACGGTGCCTGGAGTGAATACCCCGCTTGGAAAGCTTGGGAGCCTTCTGGGCTGGAGCGATCGGATTAGGAGGAGCGGGGAGGC